AGATAGATAGAAAGATTAGGTTATGTGCAGGAATAGAAATCAGATCCTCCATGTGTTGGTGGTTGATCAGTGGCTCCATCAGCACTGCATCAGTGTGAGTGGATTAGTTGTGGGCACAGACACGGGAGATGAGCAGCGCTTTAGTAAAGAGGAGGGGCGAGAGAGCATGCGGACCTATTGAGAGAGAGAGGCGGTTCAGCCCCGCTATGGTCTCAGCAGCGGCGGCTCAGGGAGTAGTACCAGACTACTGTGTTGTGCAGGGAACACGCACGACATAGCTGAAAACCGCCAGCGGAACAAATGAAAGCGAACACTACTCTTTCGTGTGGATTAATTCAGCAGCGAGACACTCGATCGAGGCGAGCGGCTCTTTGAGCGACACAGGACCGACTGACGAGGAGCGGGACATTAGCTACTGTAGGATAACACCGCCGAATGGTTCCTCTGGCCCCACCGCTAAGGTTAGTTAGCTTCCATGGCTGTCCGTTGGTTTGGGGAGGGGGAGGGGGCGTCTGTCTGTTCTGTTGTTGGTCGACGGGGTCCGGCTATTCTTTGGAGGAGACACACACATACACACACATACACATACAGCAGTATTGACCTTTTCCACGCTATACGTTGCCACACGGGTCGTCGAAGCCCCGGGAAACGTAGCGTTAGGGGTCGGTCGAACTAGCGGTCTGCTCGCCTCACTACAGCAATCCTTGTTGACTGGATCTCTGCAGCTTGTTCATTATTTTATAAATCAGGAACACGTGCTACATGGCTAGGCTAAGCTAGCTAACGGTGCTAGCTGCCCAAGCTAGCTGTCAGAACTGCGGAGCAGCTAACGTCAATTCTGCTGAACACAATTAACCATTCATCGGTGTTATCTGTGTAAACACGCCCCATCCACCACAACTATACCAATATCCACTACCAATAAATGATGTCAACTTTCTACTGAGGGGAAATAATTATCGTTGCGTCTGGCTAACTTGCTAACCTGCTAACTTAGCTCTGCACAAAAGCGTTGGTTTACCATCAAGTGGACATGATGCGACCGAGAGCTGAGCTGTCGTCGACCGGTGGCTCTTTGCTTTGTTGTGAACTGGATGATAATCTGTGATTTGCTTATTACTGTTGTATAACCAGCTGGATGTCAAGTCACTGACCTAAGGAAGTGGGTGCGCTGGGTGAGTTAGCGTTAAATGGCTGGTTGTGACGGGTTGTTGCTGTTTTGACAACATTACACGGTTTGGAGTTGGTCTGTGTCTCTCAATCTGAGTATTTTAACATTGTAACCTGATTTCTAGACGAGTGGTTGAATGGGTTTACATTAGTGTAATATAGCACAGTTTGTTGCTTAATGCTGACGTCTCCTTTGCCTACTGAGCGGAATGTTGTCAAACTTTCAGGCTCAGATTCACAGACACGTTGTTGACATCTTGATAAAACAGCCAGATCTCTTGTGTAAAGCCACTAGACAAAACACAGCTCAATGAGACGACCAGTGACCTACAAAGTAAACATCTGTTGTTGTGGTACAGTGTGAAAGTCGGTTTTTGTCAGCTTCCCTGTCTCTACAGCCACTTCCATAATAAACAGTCAGATACTGTATGCTATTCTTTCTGTGTTTATCTTATCAGTGTGAGAACATTTCATAATGTGCCATTATCATCACTGCCTCTGGACTCAAGGGAGACTGAATTTAAATTGTGACACAGTCAGTTGTGCCTGTTAGGGAAGGTGTCATCGCAGTTGCATTATGTATTACTTCTAACATCCACAGTTTTAGTGAATAAAAACACTGAACCCCAGAAACTTTGAACACTAATTTTATATGTTTTTATCTTGTGCCACAACTAATGAGTATGCGGTTGAGAAACAACACTAAGAAGCTTTGACCCTCTGTCGAACAAGAGTCACACACACACGACAATGAGTTACTGATTTCACTCAGAGCATGTTTACATAAATGTATTGCTTAGGTTGTCATTATGTTTGATTAGTATCCTTTCTGGTTTATTTTGTGGAGATTTTTATGACTCGTCACAATTTATAAGACTGGAACATAAGTGATCTTCAAGCTCATTTTACTTCTCATTTGACCAAGTGCTCGTGGAGCTTTGTCAGCAGTCAAACAATTTTCAACATACTACTGGAACTGCTTCTTTGTTGAAAGATTTGTTCTCTTTAAAAATCCAGAAACATGTATTATCACTAACTGCTGCTGGTATCTGGACATACAGGTAGTCTTTCATTCCCGTGCTTTGAGATACCCGTCTCTGAAATATCTTTGGACAGCCCCCCAGAAGCGATATACTCGTAAAGTGTTGTGGCAACATCTTGGACCATAACTACATCATAATTATGTGCAATTAGTGGTAAGTCATACATAAGGAAATATAAAAAAAAGAATAAGTAAGACATACTTTACATCTGAACAAATATTTGCCTCTAAGCTTGTTCACCTGAGTGAGTGTCTGTGTGTGTGACAAGGCCTTATAGAGAGCACAGAGACTGACGTTACTGGCTATGTGCTCTCTTAGTACAGTTTCAGCTCGGCAGTTTGGATGAGATTTCTCTCCCCTATCCAAAAGGGTAATGGGGGCAAAGATAATCCTGTGCTCTGTGTGTTGCCTTAGGGAGACCTATTCACTGCTAGTTCAATTTATGCTTGTATTATGAAACACAGCATAGTTATGAAACTGTAACCGGGAGACTTTTTGCTGATTTTATGGTCTGTAAACGATAATTCCCCACAGTGAATTGTTGCATGAAGAAAATCATGTTGCATCATCATGAATTACAGAAGATTTCTGTAGAATTTTAGTTTGACCTTCAAAATGATTGCTGTCATAAATTTACATCTACACTTAAGCAGACTGTCCCTCGCATAGAGGTGGTTCACTATCAATTAAGTGATGAATTGAGCGACCACAATAATATTTCAAAATCTTTCTAAACTTATGGGCGATGTGCAGCCAAAGGCATCTTATATTTTAGTCTGAATGGTGACACACTGCATATGTCAGTCTTTTCTATGGCGTGGGCTAAATGTTCTATTGTAAGTCAAAGCCACATGTGAGATGTCACAAGCACTTTTATTAAAGCAGATGTGATCAAAACAAAATGGGCTTTTCTTCCCAGTCAATGTAAACTGGTGCATTGTAACCCCCTCCCCAGGTTGGAGAACTTGTATGCAAGTAAGTTTGTGTTTGCGTGCAGATGTAGAGGAAGAATGGGGGTTGGCTGCGTGGAGAGTATGAGAGGGAGATGGCACTGGCATAGCTTTGCGGAAGCCACAGTTTATATAATGCAAAATCAAGATGTATTTGATAAGAGCAGTATTGTCTCATCCTTATCTTGTTTGAAGATTTGTTGATATACCCAAAAAGTACAGATACCACCCAGCCCTTTTTATTAGTACTACTTTGTTTATACTATACAAAAGGTATGTACATTTTTGCTATTGTGTCATAACAATTATGAGAAAGTATTGAAAACATGGTATATGTTGTAAATAGTCTACAGGAATGTTGCCCAAGCTGCTTGGCTGCAATGTTTGTTTCACTGGAATATACCACTGCTATATGAATGAGGGTTTGTTTTGGATGCCATGAATGGATGACTCAATTGAAACGATCTGTTGATTTTGTTAGAGCTGATGAAACACTCTGTTCACTTGAGGTTATCTAGTTGTGTTACAACGTGGCTGTTCTTATATTGTTAACTATATGTGACCAGACAAACAGTGTACACACAACAGCCAAGTTTAATTTTGGCCGTTCATCCAGTTAATAAGTTACAGCTGATATGACAAACCAGCACCATTTTTATTATTGTTTGTGTAGCCGGTCTGCGAAGCTCAGCACCAGCTAAAAGTTAGAAGATGCAGGGAAATGTGCTCTACTCTGCATTGCTAATGATATTTGTTCATGATTATTAGCATTGGAGCTTAGTAAACCTGTTCATGTAAGGTACTCCCTCTTCTGATTCAACATCACAGAAAAGTGTTTTTCTGAGTCATCATTTATTTACATTAAAAGTACAGTGTGTAGAATTTTGTGATATCTATTGTTGAAATTGCATGTTGCAGCTGAACACCCCTCACCTCACCCTCTTCTTCCAAACATGAAAAAGAAACTGTGGTAGCCTTTAATTGTCACAAAAACTCAAAAGGTGTTTAGTTTGTCCAGTCTGGACTAATGTAAAAAACATGGCGGCCTCCGTAGAGAGGGTCCCCTCGATGTAAATATAAAGTATTTAAATATAAAGGGCCTTTTCTGGGGTAAAGAAAACTACAATTCATACAATTTAGATGAAATGAACTTGTTAAAGTACATTAAATTTCTGCCAATAATTCCCTTTCACCTAAATCTTACACACTGGACCTTTAAATAGCGTACATCTTATTTACCCTGGCTGTGTGGTGATATAATTTTAATATCTAATGTTTTTGTACATAATACACTGGAAATATTTATCCATGCTCAATATATTAGATTTGTTTACCTTTTCACTTTTTGATGTGAAATATTGTCTCTATCGTCTATGTGCTCTGTGCGAAACAAAACACCTTTTAAAGTGTTGTGTTAAATAAATATAATGTCAGTGTAACTAACTCTCAGTGCTAATTCTTATCACTAAAACACTTATTTTAATAATGCGCCAGTTTAGAGGGCTCCTTGTACAATTTACATCATTAGATCTTTCTATATTAATGCCAAATTGGTATTATAAATATCAAATCAAAAATCAAATTGTATTTGGCCCTTTAAAATCTGAATTAAATACATTTGGTAGACCAGTGGCAACACAGAGCTGCACTTAACTGATTTGCTTGCTTGATCTGTGTTCGAGCTTGATAACCAACATGTACACACTGGCCCTGTACACACCTGGTATTAAACACAGATTTTGCAATCCCATCACAAGTGGACAGCTCTGAGTGCGTGCATTCACATATGGCATTAAAATGTGGCCCAACATGCATATCATGATCCGATCTCCGATCTGATCTCACCTTTCCCCTTTGAACAAACAAACACGTCTGTCATTTCTGTTCACAAAGACCAAGTTATGTTGCTTTTACACAGTCTGAGTACACAAGTGTGTCACACAAGAGTGTGTGTCTGTGTCGGCATGAGTGTGCGTGTGAAAGAGAGGTAGAGTCTGAATGAATCTTGTGCAACTGCGCTGTGAAGAAAGGTTTTAATAGTATTGATTTTAGTAGTATTGATCATTTTGTGGTGATCAGTGTTAATATTGTGGAGGTGGTCAGAAACAAATCAAGTGAAGAGAAAAATGCATTTGATTCAAAGTCAATCGAGCAGGAGCTCCATATGTGGCCCAGGAAGCATTTCCATGTATATCTGATCTGCATGCGTTCACACTTGTATTTAGTGCTGTCCACTGGAGATCGGAATCACAAAAACCTCATGTTAATACCAGGTGTGTACGCGCCACTGACATCCTC